ATAAATGTCGCGATCGAACATGCAAGCTTGGCACTTGACCGATTACTTTTTAATGTGTTGTTCGGGTGTATCCTTAACACGATCATGAGGGCCGTGATTGTATACTGATGGCAGTCACGGCGGGTCGTGTTTGATTGTGTAGTTTGTTCAAGGGGTAGGTCACTGTCAGTGTGCTGCAAGTGTGTCTCAGGTGTGCCGATTGTGCCAGTCATAGAGCAAGCTGCGATTTTTTGTAACATACCCATCCCGGTGACCCCTTGAATGTTTTGGTTTGCAATCGCAAGAATAAATCGGATTGAGGATGACGCGGTAAGTGTTAATATGATAATAAAAGTCCTATGAATTAGGGATTTTATAATGCCCTCAAAGGCAGACCAGAAACCTAGCCTTTCGTGATGTGAAAAGCAACCGTCTATCAGCGGCCCGAAAGAGTTGGGAACTGTGGGAACTTTGTTGGAGACCGACTATAGAGGATGTTGAATATGACTTCTGTTGTTTGTTTTGTGTGTGTTGCAGCATTATTTGAATTACGGGTACTAATGGGGTCTGATTTACTGCTTCTTTCTCTTGAGCCCACTCTAGAACCTATATGTCGTATTTAGATCTATAAGTGTCTGAGTTCCTCTGGTATGATCAATGAGAGGATGTGCCTGAAATTACAGTCCGGTGAAATATGAAGGAGAAAACAGTCGTTTTAAAACGCAATAGAGTTCGGTTGAGATAGCTCGAAAGATGTGCAATAGGGTTAACTACCCCATTTCGGGCCTATTAAGCACAACCCGCACTAAGTCTTCCGTAATCTAGCACAGTTTACATCAAACGGAATGTTATTATTACTGATGGCTTCCAAATTTATTTACCTTTCCGTACGGTATCGTAAGATTTGATAAAGAGAAACTAGTCGTTGAGATATTGTCAAAAGTCTTACACTGCTTCTTGGCGCCAAACTCGGCCTACGGATTCTAAACTTGGCCTAACGCATTGAAACGTCATTGAAACGCCAATGAATTCTCCTTAGAGATGAACTAGCCTAAGGCTAAAAATCTCTTTAATAAAGAATTTAAAAAAAATGCAAATGAATTCTCTTCGGCCTATCGGATGAAGATAAAAATTGATTCGGTCGGAGCGCTTCTTTTGTTTTTGGGAATAATTGTTGCAAACCTTCATATCACACGTTCTCATTGACTTCGTTCGGTAGCTTTTTAACTAAAGTATCGTACCAAACTCATAATTGACTTGTTTACTCTGAAATCATGGATTTGAAGTTTTCTGCTCCATAGGCCCAAAATGGGCGATAAGGTCGAAGTAGTTCTTTACCCTATTTGTACGCTGGTAAAATCATCGCGTCAGCCGTAGTTTATTTTGTGAAGTAAGGGGCACGGTCGCCCAAAAAAATAATTTGTGAAAGTTGTATGAGTTCAGTTCCCGTCTTACGTAAGGATTAAATCAAAACAACGAACGTCACGTAAAAGTAGAATTTCATGGAGACTTAAAAGATTTTTCGTAGCTTTTCTGTCTTCAGGGTTAAAATATCATCGGTCGTTGAGGCTTATTATTGTGTAAAGGGCACCGCTGTCAAGTTTAAGTTTGAATAAATCCCATCATTTTGAGAAGACTTATAGTAACATCGCCTGATTATCGTGTGTTTTGTGCAACTTAACATCGTCATCAACTTCACCATCGGGGTCGGTTTTGAATGGTTGCAATGACAACGCGATCGTTGCTTGTATGGCCTTAGAGCGACCATTTTTGCTCACTCAGTAGAAAATCATGAGTTTAAGCCCAAACCCTTCACATTCAAGAATAGTAAATTATTTTATTTGGAACATTGGTGTGTTGTAGTAAAAGGAGCTCGTTTGCCTAGTAGCAAACGTTTTTGCTTACTGAGCAGAATATTGTGGGTTCAATCCCAAGATCCTTCACGTTATATGACCGTTAGGACATCAATTCAGCTTATCGTTTACCAAAACGAACCCTGCTGCAATCCCAACCCTCTTACCAAATATCCCAGTGATTGCTCGTGGAAGTGCAGAGGTGTTCTCGGCTTCCATCAAAGTGAGTGTCACGTCAACACATTCCTACCCATTACTTTCTTGACCTGCGTTAGGGTGCGGCCGGCGCTGGTATTGACTAGTTTGAGATCACCAGTCCGAAAAAAAAAACATTTCCTGCAGCTAGTCTCGTATGCACAATCCAGTATTGGATCTACTACACCATACAAGCACTTATAAGTACAGAGGATTATATCAGTGATAAGTTATGCGCTTCGTAAAGTCTACTTGGTCTCTGAAAGATTTCGATGTAGATGAAAATCATCAGATTATGTTAATGATTGGATCTTGAGTCGGTTTAGATTCCACGGCATCTCTACACGCATTCCATGATAATCATATCTGTTAATATACAAAAAGTGTGATTGCACGCAATGGACGATCTTTCAAAAAGCAGTTGAGAAAATCGCATTTGGATCGCAGTTTTGCATTAATTTCCTCTGGAATTTTTGCGAGATGCTGGAATGCTCTTACAATCTTATGGGATTACTTGATATGGTACATACCCAAATGCGATCTAAAGTGCACATTCTTATGATATCTAAGGTTATCTGTGGACGCCATATTCGAGTTAATTGACACTAATCTTTTTATCAATTAGATTAGACATAATTTACGATATAATCTTTAATCACAATTTCAGTTTCAAATAACCTTAAAGCTTCATCCGAGTTTATTTGTGATACGGTACGGTACAAAAATGGATCATCGTCAATAAGTCGAAAATTTGCATTCTATGCAACTTAACTTAAACTTTATGTGACGTATCTCATTCTTGTATGGGATGTTGACTTTATCAGTAGCAATTTACGGTTCTATTTGTACGCTGGTATACGACTTTCGGTTGTCTGTTTCATTCTCATCATCCATGAGCATATCAAATTGATTCCTCAAATAAATTTCATCAGAAGGGGGATCAATAGATTGCCCGCCATGGCGGCAGTAAAACATTTATCCAAATCGACTTCCAAGCAGATTACTATATGAATCTGAAGGATCGAAGAGGAATTTTCCAAATCGATATTCAAGCAGGATTACCTCGGGTAGGGTCCAAACAAGGATCGAAGAGGAATAAGAGTCGAACAAGGTAGAACAGTTGCAGGTAACATTGTGCACTGAAAAGTGCTGTTTAAATTTGTTGTAGCTTTAGGTAGCAGTAACACTTCCTACCGCAAAAAAGCAAATAGATCCGCACGGCAAGAGAGCACGATGCGGACTGAAGTCTTCCTTCGCTCGTAGTCTCTTTCCACTTCCATACTATACAATCAAAACATTGCACATCAATTTAATGTTGACGTTTTACAGTCCATGAAACATGTTCCCGTTTTCGAGAACAGGTTCAAGAACAACTCTTGAACTTTAATCACGTTTACCAGAACAAGATCATGATTTTTAGAATAGAGTTCACGTTTCTATGACTTTTGTTGCCTTTGCAATGTAACGTACGTTTATTATCCAGAATCATGTTCACGATTTCATGATTTGTGACTTGATGTTGACGAATTTCGGAACGATTTTCTTCCCATGTGCAGTCATAATTCGTAAGGTGTTGTTGTATAAATCACCCGATGGCGTTGTCCATTGAGAAATACTATCTATAGATCTGAAACCGTAGCGTAGTGATCCACTCGCGTTACGTCTGGATAGTCAAAGTAGCTTGTCGTGGATGTGGCCAGTATGACCAGTATTTAATGATTTACATGACCTTAGACGCTCTTTCAGTGGTGGAGAGGTCCAATACCTTGCACTAATCTTCAGTCAAGAACAACTTGACAGATGTGACACTGACACCGGAAACAATCCAATGAATGCGTTTTGCGATTGAGATGCAGATTGTAGTAGAAAATTCTAACTAATCGTAGGATGCTTAATCACACTTTAGACAGAAGCATTTAGTCAATACGGGCAATAATTTAGCTATTGTGAAGTCAACCTCCCGACCAAAAACAACAGCAACGTATGCGAATGGCTCAATATTTTCGTTTTGTTCGTCTTGGCTCCATGAGAGGACGAAAACTGAATTATTTTTGTTGACACAGTAATTAGTTGCTTTCTTTTCGCATTATGCATTCACATTAAGGTGCCTTAGTTAGAATCCGTCTAGAAATAAACTGAAATAATACCATCAATTGATAGTGTCCCTAGATCATAAATCCTACAGCTGTAAGGTGTATTACTGCTTTATTTGCTCATAATTTATCAAATTTATTTATGGTCATTAAATTGGAATACAACCAGTTGTTTGCACAAACGGAAACCGTTGCCACATTATAAAGCACTACCGACAGTTGGAGCGCTGTTTCTGCACACCGAAACTAAACAAACAACTTCCATATGTGCAACGGTTCCAAGCCCCTTTCTCTGAGCTGTTTGCGACTACGTTTAACATCATAGTTGCATTGCAAAAATCTACTTTAACGACCAAATATTTACTCCCGTTCACGTATACACATAGTTTCTGATTTCCACCCACTGACGTCTGCAGCGCTGAGTAGGGCCACATTCAACTTTGCTTGCCCATATAGCGTCATTGCGGTTGGTTCCAGCAAAAGATAAACCCATTGTTTACTACTAATCTTTCACCACCCCCGGCGATACGAACTTGAATGTTTTTGAATGCTTCTCGCTCTCGGTAGCACCGGCGGTGGCCTGCGGTGCGCATAATTCTAAGCACTTTACCGCTGCCCGTTTCCGACAGGCTGTCTGCTTTTATAGCTGCTGACTGGTTCATCTCTTCTGGCGAAAATCAGCGAAAGCCGTGCTCAACCAAGCGTCTCCACAGCCACAGTGGTATAACGGAGGTGGGATAAAAATTTCCTCCATATAACGCCATTTCGATCAAACATTTGGTAATCCAGGCCTCGCGTCTAGATCTCTAGTATAACAGACCTAATTGAATTTCAAATCAATCTCTGAAATGCTCGTTTCTTTTTCTCATGCTATTTGCAGGACGTTCTTCGCACGCGCTTGTCCTACCGGAAACGGATTTACACAATGATGCCCCCGCCGCTGGTGGTGATCTGGCGGAGGAACTTCAGAACCCGGCTTCAACAACGAGTAGAGCTGTGATATTTACCGAGGATAAACTAGTGCCAACAGCGGTGCAGTTCCGTTGTGCTGATGGATTCTTCCGGTGCAATAGTACGTTAGACTGCATCGAACAGCGAATGAATTGCGATGGCACCGCCGATTGCGACGATGGCTCTGACGAGCGCGATTGTGGTGAGTTATGTGAATGCATGTATGTATTGTTGAAAACGTTCGATGCAGTGGAGTGATAATATTTAGCTGAGATGCTGTTTCCAATTGGTCTCACGGTAATATTAAGCTTAGTCAAGCTATCAGTAAACTGTTTGTACAAATGACAAATATTTGAAGATCCATGTTTGACCAAACTTTATGTTTGACGAAGGTCAGTTCACATAATCAAATATTTGGCAATTCTTCGTTTGTCACATAGGGTGGGTGAGCCAGTAGTTGAGGTACTAAGCCATTTTATTAATTAAACAATAAATATACGATGTACACACAATTGTTATACGTCAATCTATAGCTTTCAATCTCTATTTTGGTAGAAAAATATTACTCTGTAATAAAATTGCAAACAATTTCAGAAAACTCATCCTCCATTAATAGGAACACTGTTCCAGTAGTTGTGGTAGTTGCTAACTATGGTCCCTATAATAGTGGAATGCGTTGGTTTCCATTATTATAGGAACACTACCGTAACTATAGGTGCGAAGGAGTGAAAATCATAAGGAAAATTAATGATATTCCTTAATTTTTGGGCTAATTTTAAGTTTGAAATATGCACATATGCTTTATTTTAGGACAGCTACCGATTAAAAATAATCTTACCCGGATCCTCCTCATTATACCGGCACAACCTCCATACCGCAACTAAAGGTACACCACTATTACTGGAACACATACCCTATAGCATTTATTGATGTTGTTTGCATATTTGACAAATTACCACAAAGGGTCAGTACTAGGATTGTCAGTACCGGACCCTTTTGCGAATACCGGTATTTCGGTACTGAGAGGTACCAAAATATTAAAAAAAAATAAGAAGATATACATTCAAAGTGTTTTTATGTTACTTCATACGCGAAGTTAACGATTTTCAGAGTTGGTTGGAAATGCTAACATGAAACTTTAGTGTGATGATTTATTAACTAATAATTAGTAGCTAATAAATCATCACACTAAAGCTTCATGTTAGCATTTCCAACCAAGAAGATATAGATATACAAAGATAAGACAAATTAATTATTTAAAGAAGTTTGTCCTGGAGTAGTGCTTTGCATCTATTCCTCTCACGGTTATGGTAACTTCTTTAAATATTTTTTCCCATACAATTCACAAATAACCCAAAGGTGTTAAAACGACTGTAAATAAAAATAATTTACTTATTAAATCTCCTTACTATCCTTATTTCCTGATTCTTCCTGATGAAAATATACGAAGTAAATTCAAAGTATCTGCATGTGAATGTTAGTCACGAAATCTGCACATTACCATCAAAGTTGTTAAAACCGGAGAAACTGTATTTAACTGTTCAGACCTTCTTTCAAAGATTTTTTTTATTATAAGATTATTGAAAGCTTTTTCATTTGATGATGATGTATTAACCACGTTCTCGTCCTCTTTTCTAATTTTCATTTGCTTGAGTATTTTATCAGCTGATAGCTCACAGCACGGAAAGGATCTTCATATCCAGAAAGTGAGACCCATAGAAATAACGCGTTTACCTGCAGCCTGCAGTTTTTAAGACTGGCAGTTGATGTGCTTATGATTATTATTATTATTTAGCTTTATTAAGGAGGCTTTCAGCCTTGGGCTGGTTCGCCTTCAAAATGTGCTTATGAAAAGCATAGCCGAGTAAAGTATTAGATCAAATTAAAAACCAACGTTTCACCTCATGGTAAAAATCGTTCCTCGTGCAGTATGATGCACGGCCAGCTGCTGCCACCGCGCTAGGTACGAGTGCACCGTGCAATAAATATAGGGTAGGTGTACCAGTTATGGCCATACGTTCCTATTATGTTGTGTTCCAGTTATGGACTATGGAATTCCCATAGGCCATAATTTTGCCTTCACTCATACTACCCTCCATATAAGTACTTTTTCATCCAAGATATGTCTTCAAATCTACAGGCGAAAAAAGACATACTTCAAATCTCCGCGTACATCGTACGGGTTAGGCAAAAAAAGTATGCGTTTGACTTGTACTGTCGCATTAATGGCCCTTCGCTCATTTTCAACTTTTATTCAATTTTCATACGGTCGTACTCTAACGGAACTATCTACCTACCCTCTTTTAAGACCATTCTCTAGCTAATAAATTATCACACTAAAGCTTCATGTTATATAGCATTTCGAACCAACTATGATATGATGCATGTTGTTGCAATTATGTTCCGAGAACTATTTGAAAAGCGTAAGAACTTCATGAAAGTACATAGAAATTCACGGAAAGAGTAGTTCCAAGGACTTCTGGGTAGGCAGAAAACCAAGGTTGCAAATACTCATTTCAGCTAAAATAATGTTTTTCGGAATAATAAAACCAAAAGATGGTATGATGGCATGTTTTACTTGTAACTTACAAGAAGAGGTTACACAGTATGCGTTTGAAACATAAAACCTGTACATTTTGCTTTCTATGAGTCACAATCAGTGATTTGCTGATCGCTGAGTGAGTGAGTGAGTGAGTGAAAAATCGCTGATTGTGACTCTCATGAAGTGAAATAAACAGGTTTAATATGTCAAACACATTCTTTGCAACCTCTTCTTGTATCTTGCCTATTCAAAATGTGATCATATCATCATCATCAAGGAGACGAACCAGCCCAGGGCTGAAAGTCTCCTTAATAAAGATATAAAAAAAAAATAAAATCATATCATCTAATTATTTCATAATTTAAAAAAAAAACATTGTTTTAGCTGAAATGAGTATTTGCAACCTTGCAGAAAACTTCAGGGATGTTGAAATAAGCTTGGGGAAGTGAATGTCGATTTCAAATATCTTCAAAAAGTACATAGACTTCAGAGAATTTTGATGAAGTTCCAAAAACTTCAGGCAAGTTTCACAAACATGAAGAAAGTTCCAAAAACATTAGCGAAGTTCAGAGAAGATCTATCAGAGAACTTCAGGGAAGTGCATAGAACTCCAGGACATTTTAGAGATTTTTGGGACACTTCCATGAGCTTTAGGTTTCATTTTTACAAAATCGAAAGAGTACGTAGAGGTGCAGGTCCTTCAGCTAAGTTGTAGAAATTTCAGGGAAATTCTGAGAACGCTGAGGAGATTCAGAACACTTCCGTGAAAAAAGCCTTGACAATTTTCTAGAAGTTTCGAAAACTTTAGAAACATTTACATATCAGGAAAGTTCAGAGCTTTTATGAGAAGTATTGATTCTTTCAATTTGAGAATTTGATGATATTATAAAGAACCTCATGGTCGTTCCATGATATTATTGAAAAGTCCAGAGAACTTTACGGCAGCTCCATGAAAGTTCTCAGTGCTTCAAGTCTGACATTTAATCAATTAGGAAAGGGGATTCATTTTGCTCCACTCACCAAAACAACTTCGCCAAAAACACCAATATGACCTTAAAGTTCGAACTTGCTACGAAGCAGCATGAAGGTATTAAAGGTAATACACGTCTTGTTGTTATTAGAAACATTTGTGTCTTGAAGTCCCCCTCCCCTGAATGACAATAACATACACTGAAAATGGCATTCACCCGCTCTTTTCACCTCAATTTATTTATGGGTTAGCGCACAACGCGTCATTCCACTTGTTCATCTATCAGGACTAAAACCTATTTGAATGAATATTGTGTTTTATCCTTGTTCAACTTGTACTGAATCATACAATCATTTGTAGAGGTCTGAAATATTTTAGGGACCATCCATAAATGATGTAGCATATTTTTTTTTTAACCAATTTTAGAACCCTTGTCATGGTGTCTCTGGAATCAAAACTTATTAAAAAAATATTATCGCTGAAACGCCCACCAAACGAAAACTTATGGTAACCCCTTTCCTATGAGACTGGGATAGAAATGTTCCAGGTCTAGAACTGTTCAAAAATAAATTCTCTTGAACATTGCCCAAAAAAATGTATGGACAAATAACCCCCGATAGAATATTTTGGAACTAACCTCAAACGAAAGATAATAATATATTCAGCCACGATTAGAGGTTCTCAGAATTTCGTAAAAATTGGAAGTTTTGTTCAAATTTGTTTCGCAAATTTTTAGACCTGTATTTTTCATATTGTTAATAGGATGACCATTTCGATGTTCGAGTGGTCCAAAAAATCGATTTTTTCGAAGGTACTTTGTAGCGGCGCCGGTGGTGTAGTGGTAAGCGTGATTGCATATCATCCCAAGAGCCCTGGATTCAATCCCAGTCGGCAACTCCGAGATTTTCTGAGGCACAAAATCTACATCACGTCTTCCTTAGGAAGGGAAGTAAAGCCGTTGGTCCTCGGTCTATGAGTTGATTGGTCGATAGGTAGGGTCCAGGTGTGGGAGCTGCCTCCCTGGCGTCGGTAGCATTGGTATTCAGTACGGAAGACAAGATCGACGGAAACAAATCAAAGAAAAAAAAAAGTACTTTCTTCATAAATTCATAACGTTTGAACCACTAAACCGATTTGAAAGATCAAAATATCAAATGAAAGGCAATCATTTTTTTTTTCAAAAAATATAACTTTGTTTAAAAATTGGGTTTTGCATTAAAAAACATGGATCCTAAACTGTTTTTTTCAAAACACGTTTATTTGAATTTTAGACCATTAACAACTTACACATTTTACACAAGTAAACAGATTAACACAAAATCGAATGCTTCTACGCAAAGTTTATTAACATAACTAATAAACAGCTTCAGAACCTAATATCATCTTCTTCTATCAATGTTTGTTATTTCTGGAAATCGAAGATTTGCAAAACTATTCCTCCTACCTAGGATTGTTTACAACTTAGGTTGTAGATGATTTCAAAGAGCACTGCCTAAGTAACATTGCAAGTTTTATAGTGGTTTCAAAGCATGCTACAAGTCCAAATCATGGTCTACAGAACCCTCATAAAACCAAAATTGTTACTTGGGTGGTGTGTTGGTAATTGGTGAACTTGTGCTCTAGATCATGTACGATGTTAGGGCAATGTTGACACATAGGACTATCGATTCTCTTCTGTCGATGTAGTAGC